GCTTCAGGTGGCATTCAATGATGCACTTAGAATTTTGCTTAAGCACCCAAGGTGGGCAAGTGCAAGCCAAATGTTTGTGGTTAATAATGTGCCTACGTTGAATGCTGGTTTAAGAAAATGTATGTATAATTTTATATGTAGATTGAGTGTTTCAAAAAATAGTATTATTAGGGTCTTAAATGACATTGCATTGAGTGATACAAGGTATTTTTCTTGTTTTTGGAAGCATTGGAAAGAAAGCTTGTATGTCTTTTAAATTGTGTTTGGTGTTTTGTTGTTTATATATGTTGTATGTTTATATGGACCCATGGGTCTGAAATAAAGAAATATATACATGCGCCATTTCATGAGATCAGTCTGGCTATAGCCAAATCTGTAGTCACTCGTGCCAATGCCAAATGTCAGTTTCAATGGTGCCAACAGTGCAAATCTGAACAATGTGAAACATGTATTGTTCTCTGATGAGTCCGTCTTTCTCACATTCATGAGAGTTATGGAGTGAGAAACCCCAAAGAGGCTGAACCCGGACTGTTGCTGTCCAGAGTGAAGCGCGGGATGAATCAGTGATGGTTTGGCCTTCAATATCATGGCTTTCTCTACTGTACTTGATGGATGCGTCACTGCCAAGGACTAGCGAACCATTCTGGAGGACCGTGTGCATCTAATGGTCCAATCATTGTACCCTGAAGGTGGGGCCGTGTATCAGCATGATAATACACCAATACACACAGCAAGACAGAATGGTTTGATGAACATGAAAGTAAAGTTGAACATCTCCCATGGCCTGCACAGTCACCAGATCTAAATATTTTTGAGCAACGTTGGGGTATTTTGGAGGAGCGAGCCAAAAAACGGACACTGTTCTGGAAGAGGAACGGCTCATAATCCCTCTGGCCGCTGGGAAGGACTTGTGTCTGTCATTCATTTACATCGTCTTCAAATTACCCCGTTACGCAGACATAGGTTTAACCCAAATTACTCTCCGCAATTCACATACATATTAAACCTATTGTGTACAGAAGACTTATATTTAATACACAATGTGATCTCAGTCTACTTAACTTTTTGTTAGGTGCTGCTGATAATAATAAAGAGAGCTTCAAATAGGAAATTGTTTAATCTCCTCCTTATGCTGCCCGTATAGAGCTTTTTTTCTTAACTGGATCTCTGATAAACTGCCAACAGTGTTGGAGTGGCATGGAGTTATGTTTGATTTTCTTTCACTGGAATATATTACTTACTGGTCAGAAGGGAAAATTGATATGTTTTATCAGACTCCTTTCTTTTAAGTGTCCCAGGATGTCACATCTTTTTGCAAAACATTGGCAGGTCAACATGAACCTATTTTTTTTTTTTTTTTGTGTGTGTTTGTTTGTTTTTTAACGATGCAAGTATTTATGGTTTATATGTACTTGTGATCTTGAAGAATAAAAAAAAATGTCTTTGGATACATAAATAGATTCAAAGAAAACTGGATGCAAATCACTCTTATAGCTAGTACAAACAGATTTCACACACATAATGTCTTCCTGGCACTTTATATCATTTATAAGTCAGTCGAAAGTAAAAATAAAATGCTTAGGCAATAATATATTTGCTCTAATATAATGCTACTATTTCAAGATACAAGACATGTCAAGAGGAAAAAAGGACACGGACATGAAACTGCTCATAATTGTGTTTTAGATTCCCAAATGTTTATTGAATATTTAAAAAATAAAGTGTTTTTGCTTGTGGTAGAGGTGATCGGGAAGAGCGACGCTACATCCTGTCTTCAGTTTTCTCTACATCCTCTGGTTTCATTCTGAGAAGAAATAAGAGAGCTTTTTCCATTATACACCAAACATATGAGTGAAACAGTCTAAGAAAGCTTCAATCACAAAGAGCAAGATTATGGAAGGAAAAAAGGCTATGGGTGATATTATCTTTCATGTGCATCAAAAATAAGCTACATTTAAAAAAGAAATACAGAACTGCTGTGTATCATGTTTGTTAGTCTGGATCTAATGGACTGACAAACGTGCAGACCAGCACCACACCTTTTGAATCTCCATGATTTTTCCACTTATTTGGGATACAGATTTAATTTATATAGCCTGATATATCAGTTGTCTAGTATTCACTTTTCTTATTTAAAGGCCTACACAACAAATCTGTAAAAATAGGGCATATTAATTTGTTAAGTTTTCCGTATTCTTTTTTACAGGTTTTCACCTGTATTTTTGCCCTTCATTGTGTTGTGTTTATAGGGTTAAAGGAAATGTCCGTAATATTACTGGATTATGTGTCCAGACTCCGGGTAATAAACTGCCAGTACTGTTTCTGTTGTTTTATGGATTTTTTTTATTTTATTTTTTTTACTGTTTATCCTTATTTTCAGATATCCCGTGAGAAAGTGCCTGTGCGTGTGTATTGGATTTACCCTTGGATCCTGCAGCATGGTGTTCTCCAGACTTTAATGAATATAGTGCTCCTGAGTGCAGAACAGCCCCTGATGTACAACACGGGTGTGATGATCCCAGTGAGACGGGCCAAAATGCGCAGAGGGTCTGTGCCATTATTTTTAAACAGATAGCACGAAGTCCCCCTAAAAGTACACACAGTTGAATGAAGAAACAATGGCAACCACGCGATCAGAAAACACATGGCCACTATTATAATGAGGTAAACGGACGCGCGCTTGTCCCGTTCCGCGCTCGCCGGTTCGCGTTCTAGTTGAAATCTGGCGATGAAATACAGCTTGAAGTTCAAGCCAATCATGATAACGACGGTGAAAATGTTCGCCACAAAAGTGCCAAAGCCCGTCACTTTTTCAGCGACCCCACTAGTCACCAGATTATTAACAGCCACCATCAAAAAAGCATAAAGCCAGTAGGCCAGAATCACCAGTAATGTTCTGTTTCGGGTCATGCGCTGCGAGTATTTGAAAGGCGCGGAGACCGCGTGGTACCGGTCCGCCTGAGCGGCCAGAATCGCCATATAGGACAGACCCAGGAAAGTGGGAACGATATAGAAAGTGCGTGTCGGGGAGCCATAATAATCTCGTACATCCAGAACTCCAGCATAATAATAGGAGACGCCCGAGCAGATGTCACTGAGACTCGTGCTGAGCATGTACATGAAGCGGTTCTCGCTGCGCAGGGATCTGTTCATCATGATGGAGAGAAACACGGACACGTTGAGGAAAATTACGGCGGTGGCGTGAATTACATTGAAGAGAAACAAAAGCACGTTCTCGAAACTAGTAAGAGGCAGCACGGTGCCAAGAAGACCCGCACTGCCCTGAGAAATATTCATGAGTGAGTATCAGTGAACGCAGGTGTAATGGAGCTCAGACATCGCTGATGAATGATAGCGCGCGACTGAACTCGGACGCTCGTGTGGGGCGTTTTTAAAATGAAGTGTAGGACTCACCGGGATTCACGTGGCAGGTTCATGGAAGTTTCAGGGCCTGTTTTAATTAACTGCACAGAGAAAAGAGCGCACATAACATTAGGGACAATAAAGTATTTTCCATTCCATATCTAGGCCTATTTTTCTTTTTGTATAGTTAGCAATTTATGGGCCAATACAATATTAACTTTTCTATACATGAATAATTATGACATCAGGAATTTTTTACTTATGTTTATCTTAGGGCATGAAAAACAGATTTGAATTTTTGTACACATTTTTTCAAATAGATTTTCAGATGTCCACTTGGACAGTGTACGTTTTTCGTTTTAACTGAACTGAAGAGATACTGTATAAAACATACTGTAATGAAATGATATAAAATCATGAAAATAATGTGAAAACAATAAAATATATAAAAATATAATACAGCTTCAATGATTGTAAACGCAATTGAGTTTGTTCGACCAGCAGGCGAAGAACTTCATTGAACACATTTCTACTGTAGCTCTCCTCTCTGAGAAAACATGTGGAAAAAAATAGCAATCAGGTGTTTTTAATAACATCTGAAATGAGCAGTGTTGGGAGTAACACATTACAAGTAACATGCATAACTTAATCAATTACTTTTTGATGTAAAATAAACTAACGCATTACAAGTGACGTGCATAATTCAATCAGATTACTTTTTTATGTAACAAGTAAAACATTACAAGTAACATGCATAATGTAATCAGATTACTTTTAAGATGTAATGACTAAAGTAGCCTATAACACATTAAAAGTAATGTACATTACATATAATTTTTTTGATGCAACTGCAAATTACATTCTAATAACACATGCATTTATTTAGAGCCAAAAAGTTACTGTGCAGATGAAGTATTTTCAAGAATCAACCGTCACAAAATTGTAGCTAAAATATGATGTCCAAGTAAGTGGATGATTAATCAGAATTTCCTCTAAATCTAAAATCAATACTTGGAAATGTAACAATGATATGACTCCTTAGATGTTGCTACTTTTTGTTTGTTTACCTGCAAAAGTCTTCTGGATAGAAGGAATGGATTAATAATTCCAGAGCAACTTTGGCATTTCTGACTGGCCGACGGCCATCTTGGTTTGGAAGGAAAAAAATCCACATACAACAGCTTTGCACTTGGTGAGTGTATAGGATGATGCTCTAGTGTCCAGCGTAGAGGTTGATGTGCAACTATGCCATCAAAACTCTTGCATAAAATGCTTTTTCAGCTGTCCACTGACCTCTATGCGTGAAAGGGTTAAAGTGTTTGCCATTTTTTGGGGCCCAAACTGTCGCTTTTTAAAAAGTGATATCACATATTTGACCGTTTTATAAGGCTCATAAGAATAGGCTACTATGTATCAAAATATCATGCATGATCCACAAATCTCTTATTGGAGGCCCACCATCTCTCCCATCAATCACAGCACAAGGGTCTCTGACACCAAGCAAATAAAAATCTCTAGTGCAGACCATTCCCATGTGACATTATCTGAATCATTCATCTTAGTCGAATTTCAGTCTCATGGGTTTGAGCCTCGTCTACTTAAACCCTTTAACCAGCACCAGTGTCTTCCATCTACTAAAGCCTCATTACAATGCTCACCTTTAACCTAACCGTTCCACTCTCGGTTGACTTTTCGCGTCCTGAAGATTATTTGATATTTATTTTTCATATCCTGTTCGCCACATGTTCGTCTCTGCTGGCAGGGTCAGTGGTCATCGGCATCATGAGCACCAGAGCCCTTCGCTCCCAGAACCGCTTCATCTTCATGTTAAACACCAGCATCAGTGACACGTTAACCGGCGGCTCTGTCTTCTACCTCGGCCTGTTTGACGTCCAGGAGGGTTACCCGTCCCGAAACGGCACTTTTTACATTTTACCGTCATTTCTAGGGGTGAACGTGTTGACATTTGTGTTTGCTCAGTTTGACAGATACCTGGCTGTGTGTCACCCCTTCTTCTACAAGCGTTACATCACGCGCGGGGTTGTGATTGGCGTTTGCGCGCTCTGTTGGATTTATACATATTCAATTCTTACTGTTCAAAGTGTCGTGCCTGTTGCTTTTGCCGCGCAAATGAACGCGTTTGGGGTCATTGTCCTACAGGTGATCGTGGCCATCAAAGTGTTAATGACCGTGAAATTGTACATGATCGCGAGGCATCAGCTCAGCCGAGAGATGCCCAGCAGCGACAAGGAGAGCAAGAAAGAATCGCTGCGCATCATCGTTTATGTGGTCATTTGTTTTCTCATCTTGTGGGCTCCGTCTTTTGTGAACATCTCGGTAAAATATGTGACTAAGACCGGGCTGAGGTTCAGAAATGAAGCCACGAATCTTTTCGCGATCATGGCGCGATTGAACGCGCTCAGCACGCCCGCGCTGTATATCTGGGGTAGTCCGTCTTTGCGCGCGGCCGTCTGGAACTCGGTGTGGAGTAAAATATTCAAGAGGAGAACGACAAGGTTTTTTTTTTTTTTTTTTTTTTGTTACTGAATGTAAAATGTTCAAATCCACGCACACACAGCTGTAAAAAATATTGTAATATAGCAATGCCAACTGTAAGGCTCTGTAGCCTAGGGCTACTATTTTACTATCTAAAATTCTTGATATGAAAAACAGATCAGAAGTTAATGTACTAACAACACACTCAAAAAAAGAAAAAAAGAATCCTATTATTCATATTATGGATTAATACTTGTAAAAGAGAAAAAAACTAGAGCTTAAAAAAACATTTCGTATACATCTTAATTGAACAAGGGAATGGACCATTTCAGTTTGATTCGTATTAATAAATAATAGTAATAAAAAAAGAAAATGTTTAAATTTATCAATACGAATAACAAACTAAATGGTCCATCCGTTGTTCCATTAAGATTTACACAATTTATTTCATTAAACGTATTTTTTTTTTACTCATTTAAAATTATTAATTCAAAATATGTATAGCCTTGGGATTATTCAATTCGATGGCATTTTACTATAGCCTACTATTTGAAATTCGTAAATCTTAAAAAAGAAAAAGAAAAAAAAGGCTTGAGTGCAAGGACGTTCCAAGAACGATGTTCTAAGAACGTTCCATAACATTATTTTAAGAACGTTGGTCCTAACATTTACAGAACTTTTAAAAACATAAAATAATGGGAACGTTCTGTGTTGGCCGTGGGGTCCAAAAATCTGAGACTACTAATGAAAATACTTTTAGGATTTTTTTTTTTTTTTCAAATCAAGTTTCCCCCCAAAATCCTAAATCTTTATTTTCAGGTTGAAATGAGGGGGGAAAAGTTTTTCAATATGGTCTCAGACTTTTTAACCCCGGGCCCTTACACAGCTGAAGGAAGGCACATAACACATTAACTTATCCATTAAACATTTCCTTTGTCAGTGTTATTAATAATTGAATCATCTTTTGAAACAGGGTGGACTCTGGCCATGTGAAACCCAAGAAGGGAGGAGAGAGCATTCTCAGCATCACACGGAGCTCCAGAGACACATGAACACTGAAATGATCCAAGCCATTACAGCAGAGCAGCTAATATTAAAATAATATCGGTTTGGCTTCATGATCTTTCACAATATTGTCTTAAGTATGATGCTTATGTCTTAATGTCTTGCAAGGATCTCCCCCTCCAAACTTAGCTGTGGGTAACATGTCCCTTAAAGTTATATTCTTACTCTTACTATTTTTCACATTTCATAGGTTATTGATACCCTAAGTTGTGAAGTAAGGTTACCTCATACATTTACAGCATTCCTTGTTAGCCCTTGCGTATTTCAGCTGCTGGAGAAAAGCGTGCCATTTTGCATTATTGAGAAAAAATATGGTTAGGAATTTAATAGGTTGTCAATTAAATTTTTCACTGAACTAAATCTTCCTGAAACTACACCCCTACACAAACTCCAGGGAACTATATTCATTTTTCAATTCAGAACGGTACAATTTCGGTGAATAATTGACCTTGTTTACAGTAAAAAAATATTCTCCATACCTTATATATATATATATATATATATATATATATATATATATATCAAATAATAGACGTCATCACGTTTAATTTCAACATTTATGTTCAATATATTTACACTGTACTAGCAGCTATGTGAAATGCAACCGTTACATTTTAAAGCCAAGAATGTATATTTAATATACTTTTTTTTCCCCATTTTAATTAATTATTGAATGTATCATCAAATTAATAAACTAAACTGAGGTTACAAGTCAAGACCATAAAGTTGTTTTTTACCAAACAAACAGAAACATTAGACCAAATGTGCATCCTAAACTTTATTGGACCGTTTTAATAAAACTTTTTAAAAAATATTCTCAGATATAAAGATGAAGACTAAATACTGTAACTGAAGAGGTTAACAGCGTCAGATCAGTGTTTATTCCAAAAAACGGAAACTGGAAGGTTAAAAATAAAACAACACGAACTGAATATCACATCCAAATAAATGGAAACCGAATCAGGAAGTAACTCAAACTTGAGACAATACGGATCACGAAGCAGCAAGTTAAAGCCGTTTTCAGACTCAACATTTCGAACTGTTTACAAAGGAGTCAATGCGAGCTGTGAGAACAGCTGAGGACTCTTCCATAAAATTGGGTTGAGAATGAAGCTTTACAATACTGAGACCCTAAGAAACAGCCAACATGAACTCAAAACCTCAATGTAGATTTAACTCAAAGTTGTGAAACTGCAGGCTCTCATCACCTGAAGCCCACAAGTTCAGTCTGTCCCAAGGCTGCGCTGATGGCCCGAGTGGCGTTTCGAACCCAAAAATGCGTTGAAGTTGGCAATGAAGCTTTTGCTGCATTAGAGTTCTGTCACAGTATATAGGGATGGATATGTGGCCGACCAGCAATCATCTCCAGTCTTCCGCTAGAACTCTTAGTATGCATGAAACACAAATGTAGAGAGTGAAAATGAAGGTAAAACAGAGGAGATGCAGGGTTTCACTCTCCCTTTGTGACCAAATCTTCAATGTAGGCGTCCAGCTCATCATCACTGCTGATCTCAATATCCTGCGGAACAAAACACACACATGAACAGGAATTTACAAACATTCTTTTCCCATTGATAATTCTAAACTGCTCAATATTCTCATTTCCTTGACAACGGTCCACAAAAAAAAAAAAAAAATTGCAAACTGGATTTATATAGGAATATTATTATGTACAGGTGAAACTCGAAAAATTAGAATATCGTGCTAAAGTTAATTTATTTCAGTAATTCAACTTAAAAGGTGAAACTAATATATTATATAGACTCATGACATGCAAAGTGAGATATTTCAAGCCTTTATTTGTTATAATTTTGATGATTATGGCTTACAGCTTATGAAAACCTTTTCACAAAATTCTAACTTTGAATTTTTTTCATAAACTGTAATCCATAATCATCAAAATTATAACAAATAAAGGCTTGAAATATCTCACTTTGCATGTATTGAGTCTATATAATATATTAGTTTCACCTTTTAAGTTGAATTTCTGAAATAAATGAACTTTTGCACGATATTCTAATTTTTCGAGTTTCACCTGTATGTCAACGCAATAAAGTAAGGGAGTGTGTGTGTGTGTGTGTTTCAGACCTCCTGAACTTTCTGCAGAAGAGCGACGATGTTGGTTCTGAGTTTGCGGAGTTTCTCTTCAGATTCGCGTAGTTTGGCTTCTGCCCCGCTGCTCTTCTCCTCGACGGCTCGTGCCCGAGACTCGGCCCGCGTCTGGTAGGAGTTACACAGACTCTGGAGTCCGGCCTCATACTGCTGGAAATACTCTTTCTGCAATGCACAAGACACTAGTTTAAGCACTCAAAACATCTAGCCTTGTTATAAATATCTCAACGCTGGTCTGTACTCACGATGGGAAAGGCCACAAGGTCCTCAGCACTCATAGTGTTCACAGAATCTTTAGGGATTCGGAAATCCGGCGGGAAAAAATACCGTATAAACGTCCTGTGCAAAACAAACCATGGATTTAGGGATGAAACGCACCAAAAACACAGATCATTAACAGAAACACACCACAAACACACCTCATCATGGTCACGAGGCCTTCTGTGGTCTCTCTGCTCGGCCCGCTCTGAGTCGTGTCCGGCTCAGCAGCGGTGGGCGGAGTCACAGACCGTGCTGGACCCTGATTGGTGTCTGGACTTCGTGACTCTGGAGAGGCTGGACGCATAAGACGGACATCATCGCTGCCCTTAAACACCCTGAAAACAAACAAACACACAATTGATCAAACATTTGATGTACAAAAGCAATTCGAATTTTAAAGTTGCGATGAAACAAAAGCAGGGTCGGAAATTAACGGGGGTTTGGGGGTAAAAATGGCAAAAAAACATTGATAATTGGCATTTCCATCAGCTATATCGGTAAACATTTTGATGCGCTAAACCTTTTTCCGCAAAAAAATTCTTCTTTTTATATCTAAAAATAATATTTTATCTAAATAATTTGACGTTTTTATTCACATGACACATGGAGGCTTTATTTGAAACTTTAATCTAAATTTGCACAGTAAATTTAAACAGTCAGTAATAAAATAAGAACAAATTTTTTAAAAATTGCAAACGATAGCAGAAATAAATACAATAGAATAGAGTCAAATGAAACATGGCTTTAAGTCAGAGGCGGGTCTAACAATTGTATTCGGGTAAGAAATACTACAGAAGACAGATATTTTGACAACGTTGTGTGTTTTTGACTGTTTAAGGACTGTTAAACCACGAAAAATAACTAAATTTGGTACTCACAAGCCGTTTATGAAAGGCGACTATGTGCACGGCACTTATATAGATCAGTGGTGTGTGCGCGAAAAGCGCAGGAATGAGTAAAATGATGTGCAATACCCACAACCCCACACCAAAATTCAGGCCCTGTAACAAAACTACTCAACCTGAGCGAATGAGACGAGTGAGTGAGAGGAGGCGGGTGTGTCACTTTGCCATCGGAATCGTTTCAGATATTTTAGAATTGAAATATCGATATTTTTGACAACACTAATTTGTAGGAGTTTCAAGGGGTTGAACGATTTTTTTAAGCAGACATTTATGTGATTAAAGTCAAGTCGACTAGTCGCTGATGATGTCATTGATGAACAAATAAGCCTAAACTTGAAGGCGGGTTGCCTTGTGCACAGCTATGGCAATATGACACAGCACTCCCACATAACAGCTTATTTTTATCAGTTCTTTTGTCTTTGGTCGTTATATTTCTCTTCGGCTTGTTCTAAATCAGATACAGATTAAGTAGCACAGTAAAGATGACATTTATATGAATGCATTAGTGAGAGATAGAGCGATTGTGTGTGAATTAATTTGCAGCGTCTCTACTAATAGTGAAGCTGTGGGTTTTAGTTACCAAGAAATATATGCTAGAACTTTTCTTTTTCATTGATAAATCACAGAACAGAGTTTAGTATATATTTCTGCGCTACTGAATGATTCTGTGTGCAATCTTCACGTGATGAGCGCGCTACTGTCTGCATGTGTGTGCGTTACGATGCAGCAGCGCATTAGTTTAGGACAGCGATTAACATGCGTGTACAATAACCGGTTTAAAACTAGTCGATGCCAAGTTTAAAAACGTCATGGCAGACCATTAAAGTCGAATAGTCTGTGCAACCCCTAGGAGTTTCCCTTTCAGACACAGAATTTATAGGAGGAGACTATTTAAATAAGTCACGCAACATGGTTTGCTGTAGTATATTAACTGACATTTGCGCCATTATTTAACACTCGAAAAAGCATTTTGGGATTGATTTCTTACATTAATTTGCCCTGTTTAGTAAATCTGGCCCTTTGTGTAGTATGTCATAGATGTGGTAAATATTGATTAGTGTATGATTGTGCACGTACCAGCGATCTCTTGGAGTGTTCATGGGAACGTAGTCGAACTTGACTTTCCAGCGTACATTGTCCTTTCCCGTCTCTACCGCGGTTACACGACCCGTGAACCACTCGCCGTTCACCTTCGCCTCAACCTGCATGCCTTTATCTACAACACACACCATTGATTAGATCTCTACCACACAAATCCACAAATCCATCTTTACTATCCGAAATGATATACATATATTACCTTTCTGTGCATTGTTTTTTGTCGCATCTTTCTTCAGATCTTCATTAGTGCTATTCGTGATAACCTAAGAGAGAAATTCAGATGAATTAAAACTGTATTGAGTGTGAATCAGAGGGTCTGTTCACCCCAAAATTTAAATTCTGTCAGTAATTACTCTCCCTCATGTTGTTCCAACCCCGTAAGACTTCCGTTCATCTTCATAACACAAATTAATATATTTTTGATTAAATCTGAGAAGTGGATCACTCCTCCATAGGCTTCATAAGGGATCGAAACTGACCGGCCCAGAAAAGTTATTAAAGACATCGTTTAAAATAGTCCGAGTGACTACAGTGGCTCAACCGACGAGAGTTTATCAAGCGACGAGAATACTTTTTGTGGGCAAAAAACAAACAAAAATAACGACTTTATTCAACTATTCATTTCCTTCTCTGTGGGCCCCGAGATTTCTCGTAGTGTAACAGCGCAGCGCTTCTGTGTTGTACGTCACACGCAGGCTCACTATTGGCCGACGCTGGTCATGTGTGTGAGAAGCGCTGCGCTGTTACACTACGTGAACTCACTCGAGGCCCACAGAGAAGGAAATGAATAGTTGAATAAAGTCGTCATTTTTGTTTGTTTTTTGCGCACAAAAAGTATTCTCGTCGCTTGATAAACTCTCGTCGGTTGAGCCACTGTAGTCACTCGGACTATTTTAACGATGTCTTTCATAACTTTTCTGGGCCGGCAAGTTTCAATCCCTTAGAAAGCCTATGGTGGAGTGATCCAGCTCTCAGATTTAATCAAAAATATCTTAATTTGTGTTCTGAAGATGAACGAAAGTCTTACGGGGTTGAACAACATGGGGGAGAGTAATTACTGACAGAGTTTTCATTTTTGGGTGAACTATCCCTTTAAGAGGTGTGAATGTGATCCTGTACCTCAGTGGTGGTCAGTTTGACTGGTGCTGCCGCCGCTGCCGCTGCTACTGGTTTTTTTTCCACTGCAGTTTTCCCTCGAGCCTGAACAGACGCCGCCATCTTAGATTTTTTGGGTTGAGGTTCATCCTCTTCTGACGCACTGTCGTCTTCATCCTCTTCTTCTTCCTCTTCCTCTTCACTTTCTTCTTCCTCGTCATCCTCCTCTTCTTCTTGGACTTTACCCTTCTTTATGTTTCCTTTCTTGCTGGGTGGAGTTTGTTTGCCAGCAGTCTTGGCGGACGATGGCTAGCATAAAATAGTTACGATATTTTTAAGCACAGTCAGTGTGAAAACACAAGATATTTAAAGTTTGAGTATGTATGTAAGATGACTTACTGTAGCAGTGCGGCTCTGCATGGCACTTTTGCGAGCCGGCGTTTTTGTGGGCGGAGTTGGGGGCGGGGCTACAGGTTTGGGGGCGGGTTTTGTTGCCTTGGCTGCAGGTGACGGCTTCGCTTTGGGTGGAGGTGCTGGTGGGGTCCGCGTGGGTCGTGAAGGAGGAGTTGGTTTAGGGGGAGGAGTTTTTGTTATCTGCGGTTGACTGACAGCTTTTCTGACCACTGCAGGGAGAGGTGGTGAACGTGGGCGGGGTGCTGCGCGCTGGGATGAGCGGGTCGGCTATAAGGGTTAAACAAAATAAAGAGAACAATAAATAGCTTGAAACCTATCAAAAACATATCCAGGCCAAATGAACCCTTTCTTTTATTTTTAGGATCATTATTTTACGAGTTAAGCATATTCCCAGTTATCTGGAAGCTTGTTTCCGCCACAAAAAAAAAAAAGAAAAAAGGTAATTGCGACTTTTTCTCTCACAATTGCGAGTTTACACCTCGCAATTCTGACTTTTTTTCTCGTAATTGTGAGTTTTGTATCTCACAATTATGACTTTATAACTCACAATTATAACTGTATAATTTATAACTGAGGAATGAAGTCAGAATTGTGAGATGTAAACTCGCAATTGTGAGATAAAAAGTAGCAATTATCTTTTGAAAATGTTTTATTCTGTGGCGGTAACAAGCTTCTAAACAGTTATCATACTATAATGCGTACTATAACAAATATATTATTTAAAAGGAGGAAATCAAGTATTTATATATCATGTTAAAAAAAAAAACAGTAAGTACTATGAAAAATGTCCAGCTACATTTGGCCAGAAAATGTGCTTAATTGCAGTGAAGATTTTGCAGATTAAAAAAAAGACATTGGGGTGAAATATAACTTTTTTGTGTGCGATTCATCCACTAACATCAAGATACACACATACTGTACCTGAGGCGTGCGCTCTTCTGTAGGTTTTGTACTGACATCTAGAGGCAGCCGTTTTATATCTGTTGCTGATTTTATTGTTGTGGTTTTCTGAATTAGGAGAAATAAGGCATAAATTTAACCAGAACAGACAGAGAAAAGCTCAGGAGAGAGCGGAGCTGACAGACAGACCTGCAGGGACTCCAGTTTCTCTTGCTGCTGACGGATTTTATCGGACAGATCTTTCTGTTTGTCCTCGGTCGACTTGATGTCTTTTTTCAAAACGCCGACGGGCAAATTCTGCTTCTGCTCAGACGCATCACACCTAACAGAACAGAACAACAAACAAAACAATAAGACACACACAGTCTTATATGGTTAGACTGCTTCTGGCGTCCAGTTTCCCAACCTGTCCTGGGTTCCGTCCGGGTTCATGAGACACACCCAGCTGTCTGGGTACCGCTTGTCCACAGCATCCATCTGAAACGGCAACGTCCGCCATTTCAAACACTTATCTACAGGAAGATAAAAACAATTTAAGAAATTAGATTCATACAGGGGTATTCAATTAAAGTTCCAAGAGGCCTAGGCTCTATATTTTCTTCCGAGCGGAGGTTCAGACAATGCTTTTTTTGCAATAGTTATTAGGGATGGGGCCGATCCGATCCAGTATCGGTACCAGCGTAATTCACGTATCAGATTTTCCCGATCCAACCTGCGGAGATATCCGATATCCATGAGCCATGTCTGCGCTTTAACGCTGTCTGCTGAAATGACTCCAAAAGTGATTCCCGCCGGCTAATCTGCTAGCTGGCTGCAAACTGTGGAATGGATTTCCTGAACGGAGGCGCGGCTCAATGAGACACAGAGTTATGAGGCACGCCTCCGCTCAGGAAATCCATTCCGCAGTTTGCAGCCAGCTAGCAGGAAAGCATTGAGCAGCATTATATCTATGTCCGCTGTGTGGAAATATGGGAAATACTCGCGTCGGTCAACACACAACGAACGCAGTCAAACATTTAAAAAAAACACCAGGTTAAAGAGCACAAGGATTTTTAGCCAGGGAGCAGAAAGACAACGGGAGCCGTTTTATTGATAGTGTGTGTGTGTGTGTGTGTTAAGGCCCTTGCACACGGAGTCCAAAATTTTGGCACGCTAAAAAATAAATACGACCTCACGTTATGTCAATCACGCTTGCACACTGCCTCCGAAACTTTCGTCCGTCATAAAAAAAATCGAATCGTGTTCAATTTTCTAGGGCTGTAGTCAACCAAAGAAATCCTTAGTCGACCAAAGTCTTGTCCTGCGCAAAGATTAGTCGACTAAAAAAAAAAAAAAAAAAAAAAAAAAAAAAAAAGACGCGATGTTTTGATTGAACATTTTTTAACAATTGTCATAGAGCATTTATAAAACAACAACGAAAAAACATCAAAAATACATAAAACTATAATAATAATACAATTCTTTGAAAATTAAGTGATTTTTTTTTAACTGCAAAAAGTGAGGAGCTCTGTCCTAGGTCTATAGTGACAGTCACAATCGCGCACCTGACCACACCACACGCTACAAAAAATATAACTGCTATCTGCCACAATGAAAAATCCTAACAAAAGCTCTCGTTTATACAGGCTGTATATTCTTCTTTACTTTCAAAGCTATAGGCTAACTTTTGTCCAGCCTATCTAGGCGTTTTAAAACAAACACACACAAAAACCCAAAGAGCCTAAAAAACAATCCTAATAATAATAGGTTTTATTGTAGGACCGCATATAGGTTTATTTTCGTTTTGTTACATTATTTAGGCTATTTTCAAATGCTTCAAGTGTACAAATAAAAACAAAAACATATCAAGAAAACACAATTTATTGAGTCAGCATGATAAAGCCGTTAAAGGGACTGCTCACGTCTTTTGTGCGCTCAAGTTCGATTTCAAATGTAGGCGCGCGGTGTGCGCTAATGATGGAAGCAACGGTCGCGGTGCGACGCGCTCTTTTTTTTCCAAGTGCGTCCACGCCGCATCGAGATACAAACATATAGTGTATAAAAACATAAAAACCGAAACAAGTAGAGTTCTAACTGAATGAATACAGCTAAACTACCTATATCCCTCACTGAGCACGAAGCAGCAGCGCAGCCACAGGTGCGAACCGTGTGTTCTATGTGTGTGCGCTAAACTGTGGCGCTGTTACAAAATAGCCTAAATTAAAGCATTTAAAGTTGGGGATAAACCATAGGCTAATTATATTTAGAATACAGTAATATTTAACTGCTTATAAAGGAATAAATATCAAGGAGTAAATCATTGAAAATTTCTTTCTATTGGTAAAAAAAATAAATGCAACTGGTCGACCAATAAGAATGTCAGTCGACCAAGACGGCATCGACCGATTAGTCGACTAAACGACTAAAGTTGACAGCCCTACAATTTTCTGTGTTTTCCGCATCCGTAGCAAGCAGTTTGAATGGTGTTTTGACAATTCAGAGCCACCGAATCACGAATACGAAAAAACTTATACGAAAATTTCAGACTCAGTGTGCAAGGACGTTTACTTTTCTTATATTTCTAATATTTGACATTTTAAAACCTTGATTTGTTGATGCTACAAGAGCCAGTGTACTTGATTTGTGCTGTTCAGATGCACACTGTTTTATTGATAGTGTGTGTGTAAGATGTTTACACTTGCACTTTTCTTATATTTCAAGACTCAAGTATTAGACATTTTGTGAATGTAATAAATATTGACATGACAATCAATTTGAAACCCTTACAGTTGCATATTTGTTTTTTTCTGGAACAGGATTTCCTGTTTTTCTGACTTACTTTTCTGACCTTATACTTACCTAAAGTTGCCTTTTGGGACATACATGCATACATACGTACATTTCATACTTGCCTGTTGAGAGGAGTTTATTTCAACAATAATAATATTAAAGCAAACACAGCTCTGGTATCGGAATAGAATCGGTATCGGCCGATATCCAAATTCAGGTATCGGGATCGAATCGGAAGTGAAAAAATGTGGATCGGTGCATCCCTAATAGTTATACATTTTCATCTGGGCATCAGTAGTAATTACTAAAAGAAAAATCCTACAGTCAAATCCTATCCTCAAATAGTCATCAAAGATGAGGATATTGTGCCCTCGGAGCCGAAGCAGAGAGTCTGAGAATTTTCAAAATAAAAATAATTGTATTTGCTATATTCTTGTTTTCGGCAGTGTTTAGCGAAAGTATCAATCTATTTTGCTGTTCACTGTTTTTGCTGCTGTTAAAATAACCACATCACCTGCAGCTCTTAAAGTGGTGCTTTATGTCTTTAGCTGGAGAGAGAAACAATGCGCACGTGTAATGGTCACTTAGAGCATTTACGGTAATTTGAGGTACAGTGAGAACTGCGCATGTGTGTGTAGAGAGTGTGTCTGTAATAGATGTGAAAGGGTGGGGAGAAGAGATAACCGCTCTACTTTATTTCCATTTCTATTTGTGACCAGAGTTGAATGTTTATTTGTCTGCTTTTTCTCACTCAATCCCCATGTATGCAGATGAGCGTGACATTTTTATTAATTTATTTTATTAAACCCCGGGGAAAATACGCCTTCTTTCGTCTCTCGTGGATGTTTTCCTCCGACACCACATTTGCTTTTGTCTCTGGGCAACAACTTTGCGTTACACATGGAACACAAAGGGCTCGAATGAAGCGCATTTGGCTCTAGATGTAAATATTAGAGGATATAGCAGCAAAAAGATGACCATAAATTGATTTATAATTACCATAACTGATAAACTGAGTAATAAGCTGATTACTATAAACTGTAGAAAAGGTCAAATGGAGCAACTGTGTCATCATGTCTGGCGGTCCGGTTGAAACCTAGCCAGCGGTCCGCTATTTGAGGATGCATGTTTTAGGGTGTTCTGGTTGTGTCTTAGGGCATTGCTAAGTGACTTCTAGGGTATTTTAGGTTTTTTTTTTTTTTTACCTGCCCAAGTCATAATAACCTACCCACATGACTCTGGTCTCTATACAGCAGGGGCGTAGAATTTAGTAGGGACGCTAGGGACGTGTCCCTACCAATATCCAGTGACACTGATATATCCCTAGCAATAATTTCGATCAAAACTTAAAATATATTTATACATTGATGTCCCCGTCCCCACCAATTTCAAAATCAAACCTACGCCACTGCTATACACATAGTATCAAGTGCCACAATTAGAAGCAACATTCACATCAAACAAAAGCTTAATACTTTGGCTTAGCAGTTAGGATCAAATTAGTAAGCAAAATATGTTTTTAGGATATAAATGTGTATCTGGCATGTTAAAGCAAGTTTGTGAAGTGCTGAGAGTGAGTTTATGTTCGTACCACACTGGATGGTGACCGGTATCTCCATGGCTCTCCGTCGGCGAAACCGAATTTCATTTGATGGGACGGCGTTCCAGTTGGCCGACAAATAGCCAAATTCATCCCAGAATTTCACTATACCCTTCTGAGCTGTTGAGGGAAACATTTAATTCATGTTACATTTATTACAAACATTATAAAAAATGATATATGCCTGCGCATGTTCTCAACAAAAAGAAGACAAACACATAGACTGACCTATACCGATGTCCTTCCAGTACTGGGCGAGATATTCTCCCATGGCTCTCAGTAAGTGTCTGTATTCTTTAGCGTCTGCAAAGTCCTGCTTGTTGTGTGTTGGCTCGAGCACTAGATAGGGAACATCCACCACTCCTACAACACCTCCACAGGCCCTGACACACACACACACACACACTGTTAATTCTATGGTTACTAGAGATGCATCGATGTATCAGCCGATTTCTGATCAATTTACAACCATCGGCACATAATCTATAGCATATATATCATGCTTTCTGCGTTTTAATGTTAATACAAATAAAATAAAAAGACTAAATAACTTTAGTTACTTTCATAAGGATTAATATCTATAGGGCCCTATGATTTCCACAATGTGGAAAACGCAGACGAATCCAGTCATGAATCCTGAAGTTCAGTTTTAGTTAAAGTAATTGTACAGTAGAATTTAGCTACGTCTCAATGTAATAATAATATATGCATTTAATTTATACAGTGAAGAATATGCAGTTTTATTTTTACATTTGTTTACTTTATTTCTGTACCTAAAAATACTGTTAAACCTACATAAAAGCACGGTTTATTTCATATGTACAGCACTTTGGTCTGCAGGTGCAGTTGTAAAGTGCTTTATAAATAAATTAAGTGAAGTATGTATCGTTGTTCTGTTGTATTTATGTTAGCTTGCTGAATGTTAAATATATATCCAATCCATGTTTAGAAATTATTTGATGATGCAGCAATAAACTAGTATAACTTAATGCATGTTTTTTTTTTACTTTGCTGATTTAAAACATGCTCAAAACACTATCTATCTTAATGACTAAAGTTCAAACAAGAGAGCAAGAGACAAATCGGCCAATAATCGTTCGTTAAAATTGGTATCGTCCCCAAAAAATCCCATTTTTCCCTAATTGTTACGCATCAGCTTGTCTAATGCAGTATCTGTGTGTGATCGTCACTCACATTCCTCCCTCCAGCTGTGGTCCCGTCTTCTCATACATCTTAATAAGACGGCTGCAGTTATAGACGAACATACCATCCTGGTCTCGTCTCTCGATGTTCACGCCAAATATAAAGTTCAGCTCCTTGGGTTCTTTCAAAGCTCTGAAACGACAAAATGCTGATTTGAAACTGTGTTTTGTGACCGTTATACAAATAAATCTAGACAATAGTGTGTTTTCAAGGATATGTGGCTATATTAGTCAAATGTGATAACTATAAAACATCTTTAAGAGGTCATAGTGTATTTGTAGGAGTGGATGGGTGTGTGTTACTTTTGTTTGGATGCATGGATGGCTTGTTTTCTAGTAGCTTCGGCACGTAACGCCACAGCTGAATCCTGTGCCTTTCTCAGTGCGGCCTGAAATCACATGATGAGAATATGAAACAAATTTATTAAAAACCTGCATATCCGACAAACTCATAAGTGCAATTTATGAGCTTCTAAATTCAAATTTCTTTAATAAATAGATATAAATTGATAAATAGTCCAGAGTTCTGTTCTGGGTCTGAATTGTGTGTGTGTGTGTGTGTGTCTTACTCTGGCTTCTTTGGATAAGTCATCACCAAGCTTTAACTCCAGGGCACGAGCTTTACTCTCGGATTCCCGTGCCTTCTCCTCAGCTAGAGAGGAAGCCAAACATATGCACAAGTCAAGTGACATTTATTTATACAGTGTTTTTCCTACATTTAATTTAATTTTGGCGAATTTGTCCCGCCAAAGCCTTATTTGATCAGTTATTGTGATTTATGAGTGATGTTGATGACAGCTGCGCATGTTAACAGAGAGAGGACGAGCAAAGAACCCTCCTTCCACACACGCACTCTCTCTCTCTGTCTTCAAACTAAGCGCTTTCTTTGCTCTCTCTATCTCCCTCACACATATTAATCAAAATCAGTTTGGTTTGCTACCAGTGAAAAGCGCAGAAAAAGAGATGATTGATCGGTATGTTTACATCTCTAAACCAGTGTTTCAACTATAGTAGCCTATTCATTATATTTACATAACCTGTTAGTAATGTCTAGATTATTTAATGTTGTTTAAATTTGTCATGAAAACAACTTATGACAGCCACTGTGTAAATTATTACATTTCAAAAATGAATTGGAGTAGAAAACTAGCTTTATATTTAGAATTAGAAGTTAACGCAAAACCTGCTTTATGTGCAATTTACAGTACATGTTTTCTTTTATTTGAGCGTTGATTGTTATATCTAAAAAATAAATAGCAACTGAATTTTATAATTTGGGCTCTGTTGTTAAATTGTAACCTTTAATATTATAGTAATGTGTAATTAAGGCCTCCCCATATAGTTTACAGCATTAGCTAAGATATATATATTTTTAATTATAATAGAATTTATTTAAACACAAAACAGTTTAATTGAAAAAGAAGAAATTTTGTATTTTGTATTTTGTTTTCTCCCTCCTGCTGTACCAAACCGTGACTTCAATACCGAGTTACGTACCGAACCGTCATGATTGTGTACTGTTACACACCTATTGTGTATATATATATATATAGAACTATAGAAATGAAACTTGAATATATTCTGGAGTAGTCAATGTGCTGCTTGTATAGCAGTATATATTTACGGTCCTCTGAAAATAACTCATTATTCATTATTGTCAAAATAGCTAAGAACCAAAGTGAGTACACCCTAAGTGAACATTTCATATATATATATATATATATATATATATATATATATATATATATATATATATATATATAGATACACACCCACACATACACCCACAAACACATCATTATACAAGAAAAGACAAAAGAAGAACTAGGACAGAAATATAAGTGATTTGATTGTACAGCACAATGTCTAATTCACTCACTTCACTAAGAATCTAGTCTAAAACCCATTTATATTTCCTCCTAGGTTCGAATCTTTATCAAAGGAAGGGGCGAGATGATACCTTTACAAACATGACCGTTTCCTGTGTGCTTTTAAAGCAAGCAGCTACATCTGTCAACACTTGTGGTTCAGTATTTGTGGAGATTAACAACAGAAATGGCCAGATAGAGGAAATGCCATCATGACACACAAAGCCCGAAGTCAACTTCCCTTAACAACCACGTGCAACACTAGTCCAGTTTGAGCTGTTTGTGTGAGCTGGGGTTAAACTCACCGAGCTTCGAGAGGTGATCTGCTTTCTTGACCTCCTGCTCCGCACGGGTTTTAAAGCGCGTCGATGTGTATTTGTACATCCTAGAAGTCAAAAGAACAGGCTGTTCTGCATTTGGGATTGTAGTTACAAGAATGCTCCACTATAAAACTAGTATTTTTTCACAACATTAAGAGGTTTGATTTGAAACTCTGAGGCAGTGTATATGTGTGAAGCTGGTATTTTTTCATGTTTACCTAGGGTTATACAAGCAACAGGACAATCGCTTGGTTCGAACTTTGTGACTCTGAATGAAGATCCTCATCCTGGGGTCGATGTACAGGACAGCCGCATACGCACGGAAGGACCTCCTCTCTGGCTTTCTGTTTATGACAACAAATTTACATTCAGCACCATCAAAACACGTCCAACATTACATTAACATGTTACAAACTCACACTGTATGCCAGCTCAAGAGAGACAGAGTAGTGCAGGTATGACGTCACTTTGTATGCCAATCGGAAGTTAGCATCACGGTACAGGATTTAGCCATAGGCTTTTGGATTATCGCTAAAAACATGCTCTGTGTATAAACAAGGCTTAAAGCAAAAACTAAAAGGATCAGCGCGAACTCAATGGCAAAACCGAAGTCCCGCGGGACACGAGGGTAGATTGTCCTGTGCAGGGCTGACCGAACGGTCCGGGATTTCACCGTGTACCGTTGGATCCCTAATGAAGACATATAAACAACATTAAAAACTTGATTTTAACTACAGGGGGACTTTAAGTTTGGTCTTTTATCGGGGTGTCACAATTCTCCAAATCCTCGATTCGATTCAATTTTCGATTCTAAGGTCACGGTACGATTCGATTCTCGATTTTTACATTTATTTTTTTAAAGCCGAAACCGGCCAATCAGGATGCTCTCTGTCTTACATGCGCTTCATGAGGCACATACGCAAGATCTCTCGCTCTCTCCCAAGCGTGCCGCACAAGCCCTCAAAAGTGAAGCCAAAACGTCTCGATCGCCCCCCGGTGACCGGTCCTAGTATAGGTCATAAACCCCGCCTCCCCGTGTTATTCAACGGGACGCGAGACCAACTAAACAATTAAATTACACTTCACATATCTTTTTTCTAAAGATAGTTTCTGTCATTTACTGTAGTTTCTATCACGTTGATGTAATTTCAAGTGTTTGTTTTTAAAATAAGTTAGTTTTTAGTTAGTTATTTGATGCTATAAAAACGGTGCTGTGACATCATGATTGACAGCTGTGATTGACAGGTTCTCTGTGTGAAGTAGTCACTGAAGCACCAACAGACTTTTTTTCATAATGTTGACTATGTGGTTAGTAGTTGTATTTACCTTATTTTAACGAGGTACTGCAATCAGCAGACATCATTGGAGAGGAACGGAGCAGACAAGGTCACTTAAGAAAAGTGCAGGGGCGTGTGCTTACGATTGATTCAGCCAGAGTGGGGGCGGGGCCTTGATTTCGCGGCTTTACTTCCTGCTCACGACTGCGCATGACTGGTCCCGAAAACGCTACTGCGCAGACTCAAATTCCAATATGTCAGCGCCATACCGGGACGCTTCAGTTCTCTCCAATGGAAAAGAGCGTAGGGGCGTCGTCCATCTTTTTTTACAGTCTATGCTCTCTCCCGTGCACGCGCTATACGGTTTGGAGCACAGTTTTTTCTGTCTCGCATGCGCGATTGCGCGCTCTTGATTTAAGATCGAAATCGTGACACCCTTAGTCTTTTATGGAGGAAAGGTGTGCTGGACGGCATGCAGCAGTGCCACAATGATCGTTTAACCTCAATTATCGTGTCTTCATAATCATTCGAAGCCAAAATCGAAAATCAATTACGATTAACCGCACAGCCCTACGTAAGAGTTGATGCTAAGATCTGCAGAAATTGGACAGAATTAGACAACCCTGGTTATAAAAATTAGCGACTGGACTCACACTCCCTCTACGGGCGTCCCGGCCATCATAATGTCCTGGTGGTCCGTCTCCACATCCAGCTCCGGCTCTCGGTTATCCATCAACTTCAAATTATAAACTACAACCAGTGTCCCTACGAACACACAACACTCAGATTTAACGGCCTCACCAGACACAAACTGATTAACCTCAATGATTTAATTTTAGACAAAGTGCTGTAAAAACCAACCGCTGGGTCCTTCGATCTTCTTGAACTGCCGAAATAGCTGCTCTTCGTTCTTAAAAGGAGAATACTTAAAGATGAGTTCAGTCTCAGTAGCGTACTTCTCAGTGTCTTGAGTCAGAGGCTGCTGGGTCTTCACGTCCCAACTGGGTAATGGGACAATCACCTACGAGAACAGGCCAAAAGCACTTAGAGATCTGCACTTCACTTAGAATGAGCATGTGTGTATGAACGGCTTACCTCATCCAGACCCTCTTCTTCATGAAACGTTCGCGACAAAAACAAGCACGTTAATTTGTCGTCTTTTTTGGTGAAAAGAATGAAGTCCTTCCCTATACGCATGGAACCCCTAAAAGAGACCAGGACGTTTATGTATTAAAAAACAACAACAACGTAAATAACGAGATAATGGCAGTTCATCGGTTTCCAAGGAAATTGTAACGATACTTACGACTTTAATCCGTTTCCATACTGGCCGATGTGAGTAGACTCTGGGAAACGTTTGCTCGATTTGCCGAACTGGATGACGTGAGTGGCTTCACCTATTCAAAACAGTTGTTGTCATCATTGTTGTGTATGAGATCTTGAGTGAAAATGCATGTATTTTGTGGTATGAAGGGTTTGGTTTTCTTTGCTTTACTCACTGGGGTCCATTCCAGTGCCATCGTCAAGAAAACACAGCATAAACCCGCCTCTCAGATCGGGTCTCTTCTCTGATTGGTGGTAACAAATGAATATTAACAATCTATTTTGTTATAACACGGATTTTAGCAAATCACGTGATCGAAAACTTCGTTAAAACCATTGTATCTAACCTGTGTAGATGTCTATCCGTGTGGCATTGGCATCTCTGTAGAAAAGAAATGGAGTGGATGTTCACTTCAACAGTGCAAATCTTTTTGATGATAGAAGCCCTGTTTACAGCTGGTATTGAGATGTGTTTTGGTCGATCGGATCACAAGTAGACGAGGGAGACACATTCCCGTTTACACCTGGTGTTTAATCTGTCTCTTTTGTCCACTTTCAACCACTTCTGTCCTGATTTCTTCGAGGGCGAGTAAATGTATGGGATTTTTCAGATCTTTCGATCTAATGGATGAAATAAGCTTGTGCAATTTACATCTGAACGCGACCGGAGACAACGGAAAACGGAAAAAATGGAGAGAGAACATTGTGCTTGGTATGTTTTTCATCTTAAAACCAAACTTGGGTCTCCAGTTAACAAAGTTTAAATCCCGTCTGGCTCGAGCTCTTCTCATAATGTTACTCATTAGATCAGTAGACGGTCTTTTGTGGCTGTTTGAACACATTCGATCACATGAGCGTTTACACTACAAAAGCAATCCGGTCTAATGCATGTTCAACTACCTCTGGAAGTGTCGAAAGTGGGCAAGCTCAAAACATTAACAACTGTATTTACCGTCGTCCACTTGTGATCCGATCCACCAAAACACATTTTAATACCAGGTGAAAACAGCGCCTTAGTGTCAGAAGAAATATTTATTTTTAAAAACAAAATTGTGTTTGTACCTCGAGTTGTCCACGAGTTCCGCCAAAGCTCCAAAAAGAAACTCGTGGGTTGTCCTGTTGGCAATAATACAATCGATCAACAACAAAAGAAATGGCCACTGTTACTTTTGTCCTTTATGGCGATAAATACCCAAGTATTTGACAAAATATAAAAATAATTCATACATTAATAGAACATTGTTATACAAGTCTAAACAGAGCAACATCCCCATTCAAAATTGTTCTTTGGCCTCCAATTCACAAAAACATACATCGTTTGCAATCCCATTAATAATGGGCGCATTACTTTGCTCATCAATGCTGCAGTAACTTTCATTAAAACAATAAATGACTTCTGGGTATGTTGTGTCATTGCGAACTGCTTTGCGGAAAGTAGAAGCAGGATCCTACTGACTGTTCACGGAGCATGCAATGCATGTCGGCACACAAAATCACCACTTTTAAAAATCACAAGTTCCACTCTGATTGGCTGATTGAGTCAGGGCGCACAAGCTTTTAGCAGTCCGGTGGAAAACAAGGTTTCATGTCATCTTTTGTTTTGCTGCATGCATGAAAATTTTTAACAGTAACTCAAATTGATACTTACGAGTTTGTGTGCAGATATTCAAAGGTGAGCTGAGCTCGGTTTAGTGAGCTATAATTTGGGTACGCCATCGTCTCGAAATAAAAAAAAGAAAAAAAAAGAAAACTAGCTGATTGTATTCACGTCTCGTCTCTACATTCTTCCCATTTCAGGAGAATCATGTGTGATTGTTCAACACCTAGAAAACAAACAAAAACATGGATGTCAGTACAAACTAGCCATAGATCCAACGCAAAATTGTGATATCACCGGTTTACAAACTCATTGGAAAAAACTGTTCAAAAAGGAATATTAACACTGTTTAGTGGGATCTATGGGATTTAAACTTTTTTTAAATAGTGACAATGGGAAATATGCAACAATACGAACGTGTCAAACAGTAGTGTGATTCATTCCCGTTATGTCGCATCCAGCGACATTATTTTTTTTGTGGAAATTAATGTTAGATTGCATTTTTAGTTCAATTTCAACTGAAAATGGCTTGACTGTGGGATGACAATATATTTGCAATGCATTTGTATGGGATTCAAGTGCATTGCATTGTGGGATTCCACGCAGTGTTATGTTGTATTACTGCATTCTGGCAAATGTATTTGCATACTGTGCACAGTATGCATACCACATACTGCAAAAATAGTAAAGTAGTATGTTATTGCGAGAAGAATAACCTAAAATTTGTGAGAAGTATTACTACTTGTTGAAAACATACAAAACTATAGCATGTGCCATTCCGTGTGCTTTTTCCACCTAGTCATATTAAAGGTTTAGTCATACACTTAACTGTTTTTGCCAAGTAATATTAACAGCAAATTATGTAACGTTACCAAACCAAAATGATACCCTTTCCTTTAGCATGCATGATGCATTTATTGAACCTTTACAGACTTTTGCTATATAAAATGATAATGCACAATGCACATTTCCCCCCTCCTGGGCTAAATAATGACCCAGACAGGTGAGCTCATGAGGGTTTTTTTTTTACAGTCTGTCCTTGAACCGATGAAATTCACAGAAACACACGCGAGGCCATCCCATGCTGCCCAGGCCCTTGAGATCAATGCAAAAGCAGAGACTCAACTGCTAACACTTTCATTCGCCAAACACTCAAATCACCATCTAAATCTATCACATTTAACTCCTGCCTCACACAATAAAGCATGCACAGAAGAACTGGTCAAATAACTGCGGCCTGCCCAGAAACAACCGTCTAACGTTACATTTACAAAACCAACAGCCTTTGTACAGTCACACAAGCAGTAAATGTGATTTCAATAATGCAAACCATTTAACCACTCCTCGAACTCCGTTTGTTTTTATCCAACGATTTCTGCCAGCTGCATGAGGAAAACTACGAAACAAAACGTGTTTATTCCTTTTTCGTTCATAGAAAGTAGATGCAAGGCCTCGAATCGCTCCAGCAAGCGTTTTCCCTCGAACAACACACACGAGCACCGAGACAACTTGCCCCGCCCTCCTCGCCACGCTCAGCCAATCACATTACCCGCTGGCTCATTGGGCGCGTCTGATTAGTTGAGGTCGCCGTCATTCAACGTGAAGCAGGAAGTAAGTTTGCTGGTCCATGAAGGAATGTGGTGTGGAAAAACGCGGGGAGGGAATCGTGCTAAAGCACAACACCACTAATCGATAAGCGGGTCTGCTGTGATTGGTTTTAAAATCATATAAAAGGTAATAATGATAAGACAACTTTTATGTGATATTAAAATACAGGTTAGCATGAATTCAGTCGCGATTGGTTAGATACGTTGATTATACTAATGCATATATTTTTTCTGTTTAAAGGTGTAAAACGTGTAGGCTTTTTAACCAATCGTTTCTGGTAAAAAGGGGATGCTGATGATGAAAGTTGTATGTAATGGACGAAGGGGACAAAATGTCTGCCGTGTTTTCTGAACATAAACAAGCTGTTTGATCTCTTCATATTGATTTCAAGGGGCTGTATGCATTGCTTTTTTATGTGTTTTACGCGTAAATGGGTAAGAAATCGCACGCCTTTTTTTCTGCTAGTCTCTATAAACCGCAGGAAAAAATAAATAAATTGGGCTTGCACTTTAGCACTTTTTAGCCAATAAGAAAACGCGCTTTCTTTTACATGTTTGGATTGGATAATGACTCTATATGGGCGGTGTCCTTTACAAAATAAAATGGATAACTATAACCACTTTTAATATTATATTTAAAGGTACAGTTTTTAACATTAAGAATCAGACTTAATGATTCATCTTTTATGTCTGGTTTTACAGACATGGTTTAAGCTAGTCCCAGACTAAAATGCATGTTTGAGCGGTTTTAACTGAAAGCAACTTGCACTGACATATCTTAAAAAACTTGCACTGACATATCTTAAAATCCTGGTTTAATCCCTAGGTTTAATCTAAGCCCTGTCTATGGAACCAGGCCGTAATGTCACATTTAGCTAAATTGTGATATAACTCCAGATGATGTATTGCTTTCTTTGTGAATTAGTGTTCATTTCACCAATTTCTAGCTAATGAGTGGTTTTTGTGAAGTGTTGTCCACAACCGGTAAGCGTGTTTTGTGTGCAGTTTTTGTATCTGAATTAAAAGTCCAGAACACTGAATGCACCACCACTGAATAATGTTCAGACACCATTACACACGCAGACAGGACACAGTGGAATATTTTAATACATTTTGTTTTTAGAAAAATTAACAAATGATGTATATTTAATGCATTTAAATAAATTGAATATAATGTGATGTCAAAAGAAAGCTTCCAATCATCTAACTTCCTCTTGGAGTATAGTTATTATATTATAATCATACGTCTCAGGTTATGTTCTTTGGATTGTGATTGTTAACGCTTGCAAAGTAACATGAAATAGACCAGATCTGTTCGGATGGCACTGCAAGCGACCTGCATAACTGGTTGCAATTTCTTAGTTGCACAAGACCAACATGTTGGCAATGGAAAATGGTTGAATACCCAAAGGCTAATTTCTTTCTGCAGCAATGCGTTCTGACAGCCAGTTAAGTCTCGAATGTGGATGTTCTGCAGATGTTCCTCATGGGCTCAGCAGTGATTCCTATGAAGAATTTAAACACTTTTCAAACAAACTGTATAACATGTTAATTCATGCAATAAAAATCATGAAAAAATGCGAATCAGAGAGAGTTTAATACTAAAGATTAGAGAGCTCTACACTAGGTACAACCTTTTGAAGATCGCTCCCCTGGTAAGAACGTGAACGTGAAGAGCAACTTCCACAGAGGCTCATGAGGATGCAGACAACCAGCAGTGCAACACTGACCAGCAACAGATGATACCGGCACAAGGCTTTTTCATCCTAGTCGAACAATAAAGAAGACGTGGAGAGGTAAGCTAGATGCTGCTTATATGATGGTACACATTGATGCAGTTATTGAACTGAAACTGAAATAACATTGACCTAAAATAAGCTGAATAATGACACTATTATCTTCTGTAGAGCTGCAATACAGTTGAAAAAGAATTTGTTTAATAACAGAATCATTTTACAACATTAAAAGCTATAAAGATTCCAAAAGGGTTTTTGGGTTGCACTTTATTTTACAGTATCTGTACTCACAGTGTAAAGTACTGGGTAATATAAGGTAACTACAGGGGTTCAGGGTGAGTAACTAGTTATTGTAATAACTTTAATAAGTACATAGTATGTACATGGGGAAAAGGACTAAAATAAAGTGCAACCAGATTTATTTATTTTTTGCAGTAATTCCAAAGACATTTTTTTTTTTGGTTCCCCAAAGAAGCATTCAGTGGACATTTTTAATAGAATCACCTTCTTTTGTTAGTGTGAATAACATTTGAATAATTTAAGGAACCTTTTCCCACTATAAAGTACCTTTTATGGAACGGAAAGATTCTATGGATGTTAAAGGTTCTTCATGGAACCATCGATACCATAAAGAACCTTCATTTTTTATAGTGTGTTTATAGTTAAAGGTGAACTATGCAGTTTTTTTTTTTTACCTCAACCAAACAGCTTCGGAGTCATTGGAATGGTTATATTACTCTTTTCGGGTTGAATGGTGGTCGTTTCGCACCCCTCTATCGCATGTGAGCGGAAAAAACACACTTGCAACTTTGAGCCGGCCGGCCGCAGCATCAGGAAGTGTCGCGAGATTACGGGCTCTCGCGATGTAACGAATTGCTTTACGGCATAAAATTCTGATAAAATAAGCATCAAACAGAAATAACCCGGCGCCGTAAACATGTGGTGTTCGAGGCGCACATACAATACAGACTGCCGACAGTTAAACAGGGCGCGCGCAGCTCTTAAAGGGGCCATACCTTATTTCCACTCGTTACAGCGTCCATCCTACTGAACAGGCACCGGTGTACAGGGGGAGGGGATCCGGCCGTGAGTGCAGAGCCATCTCTGCGTGAGTGCTATTCACGACAGTACAAGTACCCCACAGCGACTCTAGGGGTCACTGTTTGACAAAAAAAACGGAATTCCTGCATAGTGCACCTTTAAAGTGCTATATAAAAGTGACTTGACTTGATATGGAATCTGCACACGTATAGCTCCAACAGAAAGAATCCCCTGCCAATTATATGTTCATTAATTAAATATTTAGCTGATTCTATCTGAACGACTGCATTGTGTTTTCTACCTTAGTGAGCAGGACAGTCAGGTGTGGATCTGATTTGAACTCCAGACCAAAGCAGTTTGGGGAATTGTGCTTGTTCGATTCTACAGCAACCGTCCTGACAGGTGAAGCGTTCTTATCCACGTTCTCCGCAACTGGGCATTCTGGAGGTGACCTGAAAGATCAGTAAATTAGCTTGCAGGATGTCTATTCACACCAAAAACGGGCTGTGTATATGTATAAGCTTCTCACGGAGTGTGAGGGAGAACGTGGGTCAGGGCAGTGAAGTGAAGACAGCTCAGCGGTCGACTGGTCTTCGTCCCAGCAGGAGTTTGATTGTTGGGAACATCAGAAGGGAGGAGCAGAGAAATGTTCACGGATGCTTTCGCTGCAGCCCCTGTGATGCGAAAGGTTATGTTGGCATTAGTAGAAAGCAATATAAAAAAAAAAACAGCCAAAACAACTGTTATGCAATACACTTCCATGTCTCCTCTCCATTAAATATGTCTTAATATATTATATTACAGTCACAACATTTAAAGAACAATACATATGAAAGTCTAATGCTGCCTTCACATGCTATCGGAATTATCATAAATACGAGTTTCCTAGTTTTAAAATGGACACGAATGCCCTCTAAAGTTGTATTTACCACTAGGAAGCGCAGGGATAATTCTGATACCCAAGTTTCAGAGTTACATTAACATAAACATTAAACATGGGGACGGGAGAACGATTGCTGCTGTGACTGCTATTCCTAATTCCTTTTTCCACAACAGCAACATCGCCTTGTCTTGCCATTAAAGTAGTGCATATTTACATATATGAATAATCATTTGAAGCGTATGTTTAAAACACGGCGAAAATAACCTGCATTTGACTGAAATTCTAGAATTGTCAGCAAGCGGTGAATGTTTATATGGTTGTCAGTGAATGGGACGCTTAATATAATTTTGGCTTTAATAAGTTATTCCCAATAAATAGGCAAGAATAAACCTGGTGTTGTCCATGATTCCTGTTCTTTCCGACAACAGAGCACTTGAATGCAACAAGCTCGTAATCAGAAGTATATATATATTAGTGCTGTCAAATCGATTAATCGTTATTAACATAAAAATTTGTTAATATTTATATATAATATTTATATATAATATTTATATAATAGTATATATACTGTATATGTGTGTGTGTGTGTGTGCATATATATATATATATATATACACATACACACACACACACATATATTTACAAACTTGACAGCACTAATATATATACAGTGTATATATATATATATATATATATATATATATATAAAATAAAAATGCCAAAACCACACAACAAAATTTAAATTTAAAATAAAATAATTATATAAAAAATACATATGAAAACTGCAATATTATGTAAATAATACTAACAAAATTACTGAAAATTACATGAAAATTTTAATTTAAAATAAAAAAATGTATATAGAAATATACATATAAAAACTGTAATATTATGTAAATAATACTAAAATCTCATACACACAAACCTTTGATGCCCAGCTGGCTGCCCAGCATTGTGGCACTAATGACGGTATCATCTGGGACGTCCCCTATAAACACCAGCGGCACCAGTAAGGAAACATGAGAAGTGCTCATGGAAATATTTGTCGTATCTGCATGCTCCACCATTTGGGGAGAGTCTTCCTCCAGCGGTGCATCTGTGTCGTTCACATGTGTGCAGAACTGAAAACCAGCAATAGCACCCAGAACCCCGTTCCAGTCCTAGAACACAAGCGTATGGTATGAGTTAGTCAGTAAAGAAGAACCCAAACATTACAGCAGTGATCGTCATACTCACTACGCTTATGTCAGGGTTCTTGATGTCGTGATTCTGTGAGTAAAGTCCAGTGCAGACGAAAGTTATGGAGATGATCAGCAGACTGAGGAAGAACACAACCACAGGAGGGTGTCGAGAGACCCGATCTCTCAGGTTAGACACAGGCCTCCACTGACCCATAATGCACCAGGAGTGAAGACACCACCTGTGAGGTTTAAACCATGCAAAATATTTAATGCCTGTATTCAGAATGGAATGCTAACTTACTGAATACTGTCTTTATATAAAATAATATAAGTATAAAACAGAAATATTAGATGAAAACTAAATGAAAATTTGAAATGTTGCTTTGGCAATTGACTCAAATAAGCTTAAGTTGAAGCACTAAAATTACCAACGGGAAATAAATAAAAACTGAAATAGAAATAAATTAAACTTAAATAGTAGGCCTAATATATATATATATATATATATATATATATATATATATATATATATATATATAAAAATTAAAATTATGTAAAATTATTCATTGGAATTACTTCCAGCTTATTTATAACCAGTGTTGGGTGAGTTACTCTAAAAAAAAGTAATTAATTACCAGCTACTAGTAATCAATAGTGTAATTAGATTCCTGTACTAATTACACTTCCAGTAATTAGTATTGTATTGGTAATTATAAAAAGTATTGGATTACTTATTAGTAATATCAACCTCAACAAGTTGAACAATACAAGGATGGACGAAACTGCTCTTTTAATTATTTCAAAGAAACAATATACAATTGCATATTCTTGAACTGACCAAAATGCCGTATTAAAAACATATGTTTTAACATTCAATTTTGATGTTGAATCCACTATTGTTTTATATAAAATTGTTGTAGCCTACACATAATTTAAAGTAACTGTAATTAAATTACAGAAAAAAATTAGTAATCCTTTAATTTACTTTTTCAAGGGACAAGTAATTACAAAAATAACAGTATTCATTGCATTACACCAACACTGTTTGTAAAACTGTAAATGTAAGGTCAAGTCGAGTGCTTTGCATTATGAGATACAGTCCCATTCAGTGTGCTCTAGTATACTAAACATTGTAGCATATGTAGTGTGTGGTACTAGTATGTAGTATGCATCTGAGTTCTGAAATAAATACTTATCTGGGTTCTTCATGATTGACTTTGTACATTGAAAAATTCTCATACAGTACTTAATGCGGCAAACTCAATAACATAATTATTATAATAATAGTATGTTAGTAATAGTATGTTATTGATAACATAGCACACTTCTAAACTGCATAAAGTAGGCTATAAACACTATATTTGACACATGAACTAAATTGTATAATCATAATTTGATCATATTATAAAGTTTACCGACCACTTGCCTTTAATTACGTTCATTTAATTAGCGTGTAGGGACGTTGAACGTTGACCAGGTTGAAATGTAGTAATGTAAATATTGATTGATAGCAACGCAAGCAACTTCCTCACAGGTGGGTTTCCTTCGAGACAGCTTTAATTCCAAATTAAAAGTCCAGTGGCGAAGAGGCAGAAATTACAACTCTTACATGTTAGATTTGATCTAATTAAAAATAATACTGTGTTTTTTGCTACATAGTTTAAATAATGTAGTTCAAAGTAATTAAAATAGTATTAAACGCATTATGTGTTTGTTATGTAATAATCAATGTGAGAAAAGAAAAAAAACACCAGTCGGCATTAATACAATCTAAATGAATTAAATGTAAATCGGCCGTTTAAATTAAATGTGAAATGTTTTCTGGGTTTCTGTCATTAGATATTTTTCGCTCGGACCTTTTTGCCTTATATAGAGATCTTTTATTATGTAATCCAGCAGCGGAAGTGCTGTCCGTCGTTTCCTCCCGCATCCAGCTTGCGGATTCTTGCTGTTTGAATGACACAATTTAATAATTAAATTTTTACATACTAAAATTGGATAAAAGCAGTTGAAAGGTGAGATTTTATGTTTCCAGATTTATCGGTGAGTCTAATTTAAACGCAACATGATACATTTCGAGCGTTTAAATAGATCTGCTGTTACTTCATCAAGAAGCTAACCTGATATAGCATAGTTTACTGAACTAGCTATGAATACATGATATAATTTTCTAAACATAATAAAGAAACGTATGATACATATAACCTATGTGATATTTAAAATACATTTGACGTCTTACTCATTAGTTATTTTAGTATTATTTATATACATTTATAATATTTAATGTATTAGTTAAAGTTTTACAAATCTTACTACGTGCTTTTGTCATTTTTATTAGTTTTAGTTTTTAAATGGTTCTATTTAGCTTTAATTTATTTTTATTGCAGTTTTAGTTTAATGTTTATGTTTATTTTTATTTCAGTTACTGAAAACTATTTTATAGCAATAACAACAACAACAACACTGAAGTAGATTAAATATAAATAACAATTACATAAAATAGTCTGTGTGAAAATAATAAGTGATTTAGAAATGAACTCTTAAATAATCTTTTAAAATGTCCTCCTCGGCTTTATTATGAAATATTGTAGTAGTAATATATGAAAGCATATTTTATTCCAGGTGATTGTAGTTTCTGTTTGGAGGCAGTTTGACAACTGACACAAATTATTATTTTTTTTAAATCATTGCTTGTGATTTGATTTATGCTCATTCTGATCTCTTTAATTTTTCAGTCATGTCCTCAGACGCTGTGAAGAAGAGAAAGCCGAAGGTCATCCGAAGCGAAGGAGGAACTCCAGAAGCCAAGCGCGGTCGAGGAGAGAGTGATCAGGTGAGCGGCTGTGAAATGCATTCGAGATGATTTCAGCAGAGCAGTCCACTAACCCTCTACTCATTCTTTTTCTCTAATAACTCTCATGTGCAGCTGAGTGCAGTCAGTTCACATGTCAAGTTCAGGAAGGTCAGGTTGAGGCAGGAGAAGGTACAATCCAGCATGTTCCACTCATTTAGGCTTCAGATGTGTTTCTTTCATGAGTTGTGTTCAGATGAGCTCCAGTGAGCAGATATGTTGATGTGAGACTCATTTGGCATGTGTATGTAGGTCAAGATTCCCGCCGGACCTCATCTTATCGGACAGAGGAAGCTGTTTACAGCAAAGAATCAGGTTCCTATGAGATCTGTCTCTCTCCCCCTCCTTCTCTCTCTCCGACAGCTGCAGGGTCCAAAATGAACACTTATTGAGCACCAAATGTCAATGAATATTGTAATTTGGCCATTTTATTTTACAAATGGCAAAGAATAAAACAGGAGATTAAAAATTATATTCTGTATGAATAACAAACAATATTAATGTTATAAATAAACTGACAGCATATTTCTGAGGACATAATCTTGATATATATATATATATATAGCAATTATATAGATTTTTACATCAACAGAAATATTTAATATACCAAAAGAAGTGTATATATATAAATATATATATAAAAAATTATTAAAAGCAATAATTAAAACAAATATTTTAACTTCTAATATTAATTTTAATTAATTCTTATTATTATTATTATTATTATACATTAAAAATAGTTCATTATCAACAATAATTAGTTTTGTTTTATTCTGTTATTTGTTTTACGTTTTTATTTTACTTTTGTGCTGCACTTTGGTCAACTGTTGTTATTAAAGGCACACTGTGGAATTTTTGGCCACTAGGGTGCGCTCGACCTGTAATTTTCACGTCTAGTGCCCCTAGAGGCCACAAGCGCCGCAGCATTGTCGCAAAAGTCAACAAACAGTCAACCGGTCAACCTCCCGTGTCTTTATGTGTGTGCAGACGGCATTTGATTTGTATGTTGGAGAAAGTTAATCGATTCACTACTGACCAAAATAATAATATAAATATAAGATTAATAATATAAATCCTATAAAGAAAACAAATTGAATAAAAGTAGCATACGCAGAAAACAATGTCTGATCAGGTAAGTCGCATTGACAAGGGTTGCCCAATCCTGCTCCTGCCGATCGTCTGTCCTGCACAGTTCATCTCCAACCCTAATCAAACACACCTGAAGCAAACAATTAACGTCTTCAGGATCTCTTTGCAATGGGTTGGAGATGAAATCGAGTAGTCAGGAAATCGTTTAACAAAACTGATATAACTCACTACATATTTCCGTTATTTGTAGTCTTCAGTTTGTTTTTCCTTTTACACAAATACAAACATATATGAGCTGAAAGGAAAAAAAACATTTACATTTGTATACGGCAGTATGTTGTGACTTATATCAGTTTTGTTACACGAATTCGCAGTAAATATTACATTATATATACACTTTTATGCCGATGTTTATTTTAAACTCTCCCTTTTTCTTTTATTGGTCTCCTCTGACAAAATCTTTGCTTTCTTCGCTTTCTTCCGAGTAGCTGTTGATTCAGCCATGACGACAACATACAGACGCCGGCAATCAAACGCGAGTTGAGCTCTCACGTTAGAATTTGAGGAAGTGGGGGTGGTGGGGGAAGTGACGTATGCCGTAAAGCGGTCGAATTTTGTAGTTCTTTTTGTGCTCGGGTTCCTACCCGAAACCCGAAGTTACGTGCTAGGAAAAGCGATACAGACACCTTCAGGCTTCGGCAGACGTGTCATTCAACCTATTGTAAGTCGATGTACCATCTCAATGGGTTTTGGTAATATATTATAAAGGTTGAAAAGTTCCACAGTGTGCCTTTAAATGAGCTATATAAACTAATACAACTAAACTACAATTATGCAGTTTAGCGTCATTATAACAAAAATACTTGTTTATAGTATAACAATACATGTTTTATTATTATTATTAGCAATAATACTATTATTATTATACACAGTTTAAATGTATAAAATGAGATATAATAATAATAATGTTTGTTATTTGAATGTTATACATAAAATATTCAGTTACTGTGCTCGACCAAGAATCAAATATTCCAGAGAGCTGTAATAATTACTGCCAATGAAACTTTCTTAATTCACCCGCCATCAGCATGTAATTTTGGATCCTGCTCAGCTGTCGACACCTTTTCTGTGGCACTTACGGGTGAGGAGGGTCATATCTCACGGTTTTGTAGTTTCATTGTTGGCTCACAGATCATGTTCAGCTGGTAGGCAGGGCTGTGTGTGTGTGTGTGTGTGTGTGTGTTCTCTGGTCACTCTGTGTGTGTGTGTGTGTCCCTCAGGAGGTCCGTGTGTATAATGAGGAGGTGGAGCTGGAGGGCAGAGACCCGCAGCAGGACTACATGCTGTATAAGGACACGTGTGCGGCTCTGGCCAAACTCATGGCGGAAATCCAGGAGCTGAAAGCCGGCGGCGTGAAAGACGGAGTGAGTTTCCCAGTTGCCATGTGTCTAAAATCGGACAATGGAATTAAATGGAACTGACCTTTTGCTTTATGCGTTCTATAGAGTGTAGAGATCGAGGAGAGACGCAGACAGAGCAGCGTTCATTTCATTACCCTGAAGAAACTCAACCGGCTAGCACACATGCGACTGAAGAAAGGCCGAGACCAGACGCATGAGGTGAACACAATTAACACTGATCTGATTTAGCATATACTCACTCACATGCTTGCTTTATTCTAGTTTTAGTCCAGTTTTTTATGTTTAACATGCTTGATAAATGATTGTTTCAGCTAACAGTATTTCTGTGTGTCCGCAGGCGAAGCAGCGAGTGGATGTTCTTCACCTGCAGCTGCAGAATCTGCTCTATGAGGTCATGCATCTGCAGAAAGAGATCGGAAAATGTCTTGAGTTCAAGTGAGTGCCAGAGAGGGAATGTCAGGGAATTTTAAAATGTATCTCCAGGCCTGAAAATCTCATGAAAAAAGTGAATAAGCATTTTTCTAGGGCTGGAACAACACGTTGACGTACTCGATTACGTCGATTGCGCACTGTTTATTTCCATCCCAAATCCCCTGTCATGTTTCGCACAAAACAAAACTCTAGAGCAGATGCTAATGGCTAGTATGGCACCTGTGTGAAGCAGATGTTAACGACGTTCTCTGTGTTCCAGGTCTCAGCATGAGGAGATTGAGCTGGTGAGTGAGGAGGAGTTCTTCCAGGAGGCTCCGGCTGAGATCTCACGCCCTCACGTCACACGTGACGATCAACACCAGCTCACGCTCGCACGCCTGGACTGGGAACTAGAGCAGAGGAAGAGGTAACAAACATCAGCGACCCTCCATAGCCCTCAAATACCTCTAAATCTTCAACAGCATCATTAAACATGCGTGGCGGTCCATAATGCAGGTTGGCGGAGCAGTATAAGACATCTCTGACCAGTAAAGAGAAGATTCAGAAAGCCATTGAGCAGAAGAGAGAATATCTGAGCAGCCTACAACCTGGACTGCAGAACATCATGCAGGTGAAACCTTAGACTGACATATATAATATATATTTAAAGGGGCTTTCGCACCGGGTAGTTCTGGGAACGAGCCACCAGGGCGGTTCCCTGAGAACTAATGGTTCCCATAGGAACATTTTCCTGTTTGCATTCGCACCGCCAGTAGGAACTCTGAAGTGAAGTTGTTGTTGTGACCTTTATTTTGACGGCGCTGAGAACGCCAGAGCTTAAACACAGTGCTCACATTCTCCTTGTTCATTGGTTTACGATCTGTCTAATACGTTATTAGATAGAACTGTAATGCATAGAAAGACAGTAATTGAAAAGGTATTAGCGTATTCCGTGCGCTTGATGTCCAGTGTTGCTGAGGCAGAAATACATAATCATGTTTCTCTTGGTCCCCTCAAAGGTGCGTTTGATTTTCCTCTGTGAAAAGGTTAACAGCCACATCTATCACTATTTTCCATGTGCGTAGAGTTCGTTTCTGGAGTAAATATACAGGCTATAATCTGTGTGCTGTTTACACAGCTTTTTGTTTTTAAATGGCGGGTTCGTCCAATCAGCGAACATAGTGCCTATATGTTCCTATAGTGCTGGTTTAGACCGACTCCTCCAAAATCGTTCCCAGTTCCTGTGGTGCGAACACGCCAAAATTCAGGTACTTCTGCCAATAGTATGAAAAGTTCCTCCGGTCCGAAAGCCTCTGTTGTCACATTGCATCTTATTCTGTTTCATGTAGACAGGAAGAGACTGACGGATCTCTCTCGCTCTCTCTCACAGGCGTCTATCCCAGTGCAGGAGTATCTGAAGATGCCGTTCGAGCACATGCAGAAGCAGGCCGAGGTCGCCCGTCACCTGCCGCCGCCTCTGTATGTGCTGTTGGTCCAGGCCGGTGCGTACGGACAGGCCTGCGGTAAGATTCTCAGCAGCGCCTACAAGACCTTGTGTTTCTGATGAATCCTAGTTCATGAGATCATGCAATTGTGTGTTTCAGACAAACAACTGTCTGTGAGCATCAGTGGAGACGTGGATGAGGCCAAAGCTCTGTCCAGACCCCCGGAGGACTCGCAAGGTACCTGTTGTAACGGTCACTTTGTGCATTTATAATTCGAGGTACAATGAGAACTGCGCATGTGTGTGTAGAGAGTGTGTCTGTAATAGATGTGAAAGGTGAGGAGAAGAGAGAACCGCTTTTGTACTCTTTCTTTTATGTCCTTTTCTATTTGTGACCAGAGTTGAATACTTATTTGTCTGCTTTTTCTCACTCAATCCCCATGTATGCTGAAGAGCGTGACGTTTTTATTAAATTATTTTATTAAACCCGGTGAAAATACGCTGTCTCTCTTGGATCTTTTCCTCCGACACCACATATTGTTTTTCTCTCTGGGCAACATCTCAACTCTGCGTTACACTGTGTGTCTTTGATTTGTGTGTGTGATGATCAGTCCAGTATTATAATTCATGTCCTGTTTCGATCTCAGATGACGAAAGTGATTCGGACGCAGAGGAGGAGCAACAGAACACGGTCAGAATCTGGTTTTATCCTCTCCGGTTCATTATCTTGTCGTTTGTAGGGCTGTCAACTTTAGTCGTTTAGTCGACTAATCGGTCGATGCCGTCTTGGTCGACTGACATTCTCATTGGTCGACCAGTCGCATTTTATTTTATTTTTTTACCGATAGAAAGAAATTTTCTTTGATTTACTCCTTGATATTTATTCCTTTATAAGCAGTTATATATAACTGTATTCTAAATATAATTAGCCTATGTTTTATCCATGGTTTTATCCCCACTTTAAAGGGATACTCCACTTTTTTTGGAAATAGGCTCATTTTACAACTCCCCCAAAGTTAAACTGTTGAGTTTTACCGTTTTTGAATCCATTCAGCCGATCTCCGGTTCTGGCGGTACCACTTTTAGCATAGCTTAGCATACTTTATTGAAGTGGACAAGACCATTAGCATTTCAAAAAAAAAATGACCAAAGAGTTTCGATATTTTTCCTATTTAAAACTGGACTCTTCTGTAGTTACATCGTGCACTAAGACCGACGGTAAATGTAAAGTTGCGATTTTCTAGGCTGATATGGCTAGAAACTATACTCTCATTCCTGCGAAATAATCAAGAAACTTTACTGCCGTACCATGAGAGCAGCAGGCGTATGATGATATGACGCAGCGCCTGAAAATAGTTCCGTTGTGTTGACGGAAGGTGGCCTATTTTCAGGCGCTGCGTCATATCATTACGCCTGCTGCACTCATGGTACGGCAGTGACGTTTCTTGATTACTACGCAGGAATGAGAGTATAGTTCCTAGCCATATCAGCCTAGAAAATCGCAACTTTACATTTACCGTCGGTCTTAGTGCACGATGTAACTACAGAAGAGTCAAGTTTTAAATAGGAAAAATATCGAAACTCTTTGGTCATTTTTTTTTAGAAATGCTAATGGTCTTGTCCACTTCAATAAAGTATGCTAAGCTATGCTAAAAGTGGTACCGCCAGAACCGGAGATCGGCTGAATGGATTCAAAAACGGTAAAACTCAACAGTTTAACTCTGGGGGAGTTGTAAAATGAGCCTATTTCCAAAAAAAGTGGAGTATCCCTTTAAATGCTGTAATTTAGGCTATTTTGTAACAGCGCCACAGTTTAGCGCACCACGTAGAACACTCGGGAACCGCACCTGTGGCTGCACTGCTGCTGCGGCGCGGACGTGCTTGGAAAAAACGAGCGTGTCGCACCGCGACCGCATCGCTTCCATAATGAGCGTGCATACCGCGCGCCTACATTTGAAATAATGAACTTGAGCGCGCAAAAGACGCGATATGTGAGCAGGTCCTTTAACGGCTTTATTATGCTGACTCAATAGATTGTGTTTTCTTATGTTTTTGTTTTTATTTGTACACTTGATGTGTTTGAAAATAGCCTAAATAATGTAACAAAACGAAAATAAACCTATATGCCTTCCTACTATACAGCCTATTATTATTAGGATTGTTTTTTAGGCTATTTGGGTTTTTTGTGTGTTTGTTTTAAAACGCCTAGATCGGCTGGACAAAAGTTAACCCATAGCTTTGAAAGTAAAGAAGAATATACAGCCTGTATAAACGAGAGCTTTTGTTAGGATTTTTCATTATTTGGTAGTTTTAGCAGTTATATTTTCTGTAGCGTGTGGTGTGGTCAGGTGCGCGATTGTGACTGTCACTATAGACCTAGGACAGAGCTCCTAACTTTGCAGTTAAAAAAATCACTTAATTTTCAAAGAATTGTATTATTATTATAGTTTTATGTATTATTGATGTTTTTTCGTTGTTGCTTTTTAAATGCTCTCTGACAATTGTTCAATAAATGTTCAATCGAAATGCAAAACATCACGTCTTTTTTCTTCTTCTTTTTTTAGTCGACTGATCTTTGCGCAGGACAGGACTTTGGTCGACTAAGGATTTCTTTGGTTGACTACAGCCCTAGTCGTTTGTGTGCTGATGTTGTCATTTCCTGTCTCTCTCTGTTCAGAAGCGCCGGCGGGCGACTGTAGGAGCTCAACTGGATGACAAGCGTAAAGAGATGCTGAGACGTCACCCTCTCTCGCTCTGCGTGGACCTCAAGTGTAAAGGTGCGTGAAACTGACCCACAGTTCACTGCTGCACCATATTAAACTATTAAACCATATTAAACAACTGATTGAATTCATTTGCATCATCACTCTCAGTAGTGTTCTTGGAATCAACGTGTTTATCGTTGTTTTCCATTCTTTAAGGCATATAGCGTTCAAAAATGTGGGGTCAGAATGATCTTTTAATGTTTGTGAAGTCTCTTCTGCTCACCAAGGCTGCATTTATTTGACGAAAAATACAGTGAAAACAGTGAAATATTATTACTATTTAAAATAACTGTTTTCTATTTGAATATATGTTAAAATGTAATTTATTCCTGTGATCAAAGCTGAATTGTCAGCATCATCACTCCAGTCTTCAGTGTCACATGATCCTTCAGAAATCACTCTAATATGATGATTTGATGCTCAAGAAACATTTCTGATTATTATCAATGTTGAAAACAGTTGTGCTGCTTCCTATTTTTGTGGAAACTGATACATTTTTCTTTTCAGAATGCTTTAATGAATAGAAAGTTCAAAAGTGTAAAGCATTTATTTAAAATAGACATCTTTTGTAACATTATAAACCTCGCTATTGTCACTTTTGGTCAATTAATTGCATACTTGCCGAATAAAAGTATTAATTTCTTAAAAAAAAAAAAAAAACTTACCAGTCCCAAACTTTAGAATGGTCATGTAATATTATATATATATTTAATTGCTGTCACCTTAATTGAAATAGTTTGGTATATTTGAAATCATATTGTGATTTTCTGTGCCAAATATATATATACCGCTTTGTTTGTTTGTAATATTTTTATATAATTAAATGTATTGTCCCCATAAGTAGTTTTAGCTACTTTTAGTTATAATTATATAGTAAGTCTCTCTCTCTCTCTCTCTCTCTCTCTCTCTCTCCAGACGGCAGTGTCCTGCATCTGTTTTTCTATTATCTCATGAATCTCAACATTTTGACTGTGAAGACCAAAGCTTCCACCTCTATGGATCTGAATGGGGCCGTCAGCGCCGGGTCCGTACAACAGCACCAAAACGTAAACGGATGATTACTGTAGTTGTTTGTTTTCTAACAGCGGTTACGTGTCTCTCACAGGGAGCTTCTGAACCCGGAGAGTTTGCTGAACTGTCTTTATGCGTCTGATCACGGCAAACAGACGCCCAACCCTTCCAACCGCTACCAGTTTGATAAAGTCGGGTAAGACAGACGTCTCCACTTTATATTCATCTTATTATCGCCAGAGTTTGAATTGTACGGACCCCGACAAAGGGACATGGTGGTGGAAGATATATGAGATGGGAGGGAAAAATATATTTAGCTCGCAAAAATGTTTGCACTCCCACAAGAAACTTTGTGTTGTAAGCGAGTGAATGCAATGTTTCTCTGGGAAACGCAAACATTTTATGAGAACGCAAAAGCATTGAGATCCCTTCTCATATTTTTTTCCATCACCATGATGTCCGTTAATGTATTCTGTAGAATAGTAATAGTGACATAGTAAAAATGGCATTAAATGAAATTGACTTTCTGTGCAGAATCACTACGTTTTCGGATTATGTATCAGATCTCGGACATCCATACCTTTGGGTGCAGAAACTGGGCGGCCTGCAGTTCTCGTCTGATGGTGCACAGGTGTGTGTGTGTGTGGCTTTACATATTTTTTAATGATATTTTGACTTTACACATTTTACATTCAAATTTTCTTTGGTGTTATTGTAAAAAGCATTTGTATGTTGTGTTAGCAAACGAGTCTTGAATGCACATGTCTGCGACCATATCGATATTGTCTAAAACGAGTGTTTTTAAAATGATTGACATCAGCGTAAAGTGGACGATATTGTAATGAGTAAAGTGTGTGTTTCAGTCGGGGCTGAGAGGAAGTGCTCTGAGCGCCAGTCACATGGAGAGGACCATAAAACTGCTGCGAGGAAGACTCCAGGCTCGACTGTCCTTACACAAACAGTTCAGCTCACTGGGTATGAGAGCTAGATTTTCACTGTATTATTGGTCTTGTGTTGCGATGCGTTTACTGGATGTTGTTTGTTTAGAAATAAGAATATTAAGAAGAGAATTTTTAGTCAATAAAAATAGAAAAATATACTTAAAGTCAGTAAATCTGATAATTGAACCATGCATTTGATCCGTTTAGTACGTTAAATTTTAATGCAATGTGTTTGTTGTGTCCCAGAGCACAGCATCATCCCGGTCTCCAGCGAATGCCAGCATCTGTTTCCCGCTAAAGTGATTTCCGGTCTCACACGGTGGACTATGATGAGCCACCAGGAATTCACCGTATGTTTCTCCCTAACTGGAAACACGTCAGGATGTTTAGCATCTCACAATGACAGCATGAGCGAGCTTAGTGCAAATTTGGTGATATTCAGTGTCTCAATGCGCTTTTGCTCTTGTTCAACAGGAGCTGGGCTTCGTACAGCACGCATTGAAGGCCGGTCTGGTGCATGAGACGGATCTGTTCTTCATGGCAGTTGTGGAGAGAGGAACAGGTGGGACTTGTGTCAGACTTTTTTCTATCGACATGTCCGGTTTGCAGTGCAGCTTATTCTGACCAAAAATCTCCTACTTAGACAGGAAGAGACCGTCTGACGGACATGTTAACTAGGCAAACGCAGTTTTTATGTGACGTTTAGGGTGGCAGGTATATATGAATTCAGTTATATCTCATTTACTTGCTACTAAGCATCTCAAACCAAAGTCTTGAACATCTTTTCAGAGCTGTGGTGTCATTGTTAACTAAATCTATTACAAATATTTTTTTGTTAATTGAAATAAAGCCGAAATAAAATATAAATATTAGATGGAAAAACTTAAATAAAAATGAGAAATGTTGCATTGCAGGGTTATTATCATTAACTAAAACCAAAACCATAAAAAAAAAAACATTTTTATTACTTAAAAAAATAAACGTTAACATCAAAATTTTATTTTTGCTAAATTTCTCATAAGTACTAAAATAACAAACTAAAACCTAAAAGAACTAAGAAAAATTACCAAAACAAATTTACAAAAACCTTAAGTAAATTCAATTAATTGAATTTAATCTAATTCAAAATATTAAATAAAATGTAATAGGTTATCAATGATACCAAACACTGTTGCTTTGTTGCAAATAAATGAAATATAATAAAAACTCACAATACTACAAACTTATTTTAAGTATTAAAATTACTCAAACTGAAAAAATCAAATAAAGCTAAATAGAAATATATATTTAAAAGAAAACTAATAAAAATGGCAGAAGAACTAACAAAATTAAATTAAACCTGAAAATATAAAAATAAAAGCTTATTCAAAATATTTATAAAAGTGTACATTACTAAAATAACTGTTTCAGAGATTTAATATCATGAATATCACAAAGTCCATGTTATTGACACCTGTCGAACAGAATATCTGCATCGTCACTGACTCCTATGCTTGTCTGGTTGTCGATCAGCACGTGTGTCGGCCGCTGTGGTGTTGAACCCCCGTTACCCTGATGTGGCGCCCCTCTTCTCGCTCTCTCTGCTCTGGAAGGGAGAACGCAGCGGCCGCTCTGACGATAACCTGCGGGTAAGAGCGTATTGTACATCCGTTCAGATATTCAAGGAGAAACAGCTGAAACTATTTTCTAATTGATTTTGTTGTCGTGTGCAGGCGGTCGAGAGTGAGGTGAACGTGTTCCAGTCCGAGTTGCAGGGGCCGCGCCCGGGCCTCCAGCTCCTGACCAATCAGATCCAGCGTCTGTGTGTGTGTCTGGATGTGTATCTGGAGACAGAGAGTCAAGTGTGTGACGGCTCAGAGGGACCTAAAGAGTTTCCTCGAGAGAAGATGTGCTTGCGCACTGCCAGGTAACACTCGAGGCCTACTGTAAACACTAGGGCTGGGTAAAAAATATCGATTTCTCGAAATTAATCGATTCTCATTTTTACGAACCGATTTCGATTCTTAAATCTCAAGAATCGATTAGTCATCCTGTTTTCATTTGGTGAATGAATGGAACATTGTAGCGCGCATCCCATCCAATAAATCGCAATAATCTTTGTGCTTTGTTACTATTGATACTAAAAGTCTCAAATTTCAAATTACGTCCATTTTCTTACGAAATTCAAAAACATAAATAGCGCTGTGGCGTGATATCGCACTGGGTCAGCTCAGCTCAAGAGAAGCAGCAGCGCGGAGCGCACATGATCTCCTCTTCCGCCTTAATAATACCAGTTACAGCGGCAAATAAACATGAATGAACGTCTGAAAGTGTGTGTACAACTTATCGAAATCCGTATCATGTCACATGGAATCGCTCAATCAGTGTTTCAACCGTGGAAAGACGTCAGTAAAACAACTTGTAAACAATGTCATGTAACGTCACATTTACCTCAGAAAAACCATGTGACCATAAACTCGTTAGTCAGCTAGAAAAATTAACTCTAAAGAGGAGCATTTTGCTAAATATATGCACCATATTACATATTCATCATAATTTTTAATGTTCTTTGATATTTAATGCATTTTTGAATAAATCTGGCAAGTTTTTATGACAGCCACCATTTAAATGTTTATATTTCATTTCAATAACTTGATTATTATAAAAATGTAATTTAAGTGTTTGTATAGTTACAAATCAGTTAATTTTTACCTTCAATATTACAGTAGGCTAATGAAGCCTAGTAGGCTACAACTGACTCCCATAGTTTACAGCATTAGTTAAGAGATTTGTTTTCCTTGAGAAAATTTGCCATGTATTGTACCTGATATCCAAAATAATCAATACTGAATCGAATCGAATTGCAAGCTTGTGAATCGAAATCGAATCGAATTGTGAAATTTGTGTCAATACCCAGCCCTAGTAAATACGCTTCTCCTTAGTATTTACAAAACATTTTTTGGGAAAGTCAGTCGAAACCTATTTTATTTCCATAATGTGACATTTTCGAGGGTCGAATAACGTGCATTATTGCAAAAACTTTATATTACAAAGCATTTTTCCCATTCATATAACATACACTGATGAATTGTGCACATTAACAACAGCAATGGCTGTTTCCATCCTATTTCTATTTTTGGGATATCGCACCAAGATGTGCATAAATTCTGCAAATGTGCATAATAAAACGTATGCGCTCAATTGAGGCGGATGATGTTTTTATTTGATAAGACTACGTGCACATAAAATACAATGGAAACACATTTGCCGAGTAAATCCCTCGATGCACAACAAAAACTCAGGTGGCTTTGCCTCAACAGAGGATGTGATTGGATATCTGGACTAACTAGCGGACCAATCGCATCACGGCATCTCAAATGCTGGTTGGGTTGTTCTCAAATGCCTGAGCCAAAGTCTGTCTTCAGATGATTTAGTTTAATTTCCTCTCAGAAGCGTCTCACACGATTGTGTTCCTAAACACCAGGCATCAGAACCCAAGAGAACATGACAGTGTTTATTGCGTTTCATTTGGATGCTCTGAGGCGCAAGTCATTTATGATGTACGAAAAAATAGTGGCTTCCCCGATTGCAGCAGCTTCCATTTTTATTACAGATATTTTGCTCTAATTTCCCAGGAAGTGATGATTTAGTTCTCTTGAACACATGGAATGGAATTCGCAAATGATTTATGCGATATTCCATCTTTGCGCATAAATTAAACTCACATCTTGGAATGGAAACAGCTTATGTGTATTTAGAAAGAATTTCTTGAATATTTCCTTAATATAGTGAAGAATTCCTAAAAACTTGAGCTCATGTGAAATGTGTTTCTCTCAGGGGTCCGAGTCGTCTGAAGCCCTTCAAGTACAATCATCCGCAGGGCTTCTTCAGTCACCGCTGAGTCCGGATCTCAGGACGAACGAGACTGTTTTAGTGATGTTAGGAGAGGCTGAAACCCTCTCTCAGTCTCTG